ACAACTGCAGTGAAAAACAGCCAGAGCAGAAGCAGTAACTTATCAGGATGTGATTTAACTACCACTTGTGCTTTTCTGAGTGGGAACCTACTGTAAGTGGAAAACTGTTATTCCAGTAAGTGAAGATTTATACGGAGTTGCCAAATAATAGAAATAACAAGCAAGACAGAAGAAGAGAAGGTGATAGGAAGGTCAGGGAGGTACAGGAGATGAGAACAAAATGGAGGGTGCAGAAGACGCACAGGAACCAGTGTGGGGAAATTAACACCATCCAGTAACCACATGTTGGTAAATTAAGGCCGAGTCGGTTACATTTGTCTTATTTCACCAGTCTCTCAGGAAGGGGAACAACCACCGATTCAAGGCACCATTACAATCTCCTTGACGTGAAACCCAGTATCTGCACTAATTGCATCTCAAACAGTGACTGTGTTGAGATGTCTTCTCGCTGATTCTACTCGTAAAGAGAATACTTATTAAGTTGAAGATGAATTTGCCTTTTAAGCCTTATTAGAGTTTTACATAAAGTAGTTCCAGTTACTGTGACCAAAAGACATATACAATATGTAAACTCACTTCTTTACCAGATTATGTATGTTGCTTTTCTTCCTTAGCTTTTAAACTTCTTCATCATTCTGGTTGTTACCTGGATGACACATGTAGTGCATGCTTTATTCAAAGCAACATAAAAATAAGTTACACTGTAGATCAAGCCCCTGACGCCCTGTCTCAAATTAATGCTGACACAAGTGCCACAAGGTCACTTGTCCAGAAAGGCAGAAGTAGGCATGTTACCAGCCTGTTTAACCTGCTGCCAGCTATTTCCTGGCTCAGCCCCTTTAGATTTGTCTGACTCCGGCCCCCCATTGACAACTATAAGCCTGTTTTTTTTAACAGAACATTTGAGCGAAGTTAGTTAGTATGGATTCCACAGAAGACGTGAAAGCACAGCAGTGCTCAGCACGCTCTGGCTGGTGTCCTCCAAACCCTGGTTTCTTCCTAAACTGGCAGAGTTTTCAACTGGTCACTGAGTCCTGTGGTCAGGTCAGTCCAGGTCTCGTATTTCCAAGGGTTGTTTGTTGTATTCCAGTTCTCTTCCAGTTCTTGCTGGTGACTTCCAATGTTTTCCTATCACATAGTCCTCTTGCTGGCACCTCCACTGGCTAGTATTGCATCCCGTCACTGCTGGCACAGCTCTTGCCTGTGTGTCCTCCCAGCCTCTGCAGTCCTTCCCAAAGAGTCTAAAACCCTGGCATTTCCAATTCCTGAGTTTACTTGGCCATATCAGCCAGCTGCTCATGTTAATGAAAACTGGCAGGTATCATTCATGAGTTTCAGCGTCATCATCCTTTAAGATTCATGTAGACTTGCTAAGTACAAATGTGTCACATTACCAGAACAGTCAATATCCATCCACTTTACAAGGCTCCACTGAGACCTTCAATAAAACTGGGCTCTGCTGACATGGCTTATACACAAAAAGGCTCAGATTGGCTGCCATGCACATATTGTAGTAAACAATGACTAAATATAAACACAAAAAAAATGTATTCCTTTATTTCCAGCTGCCTCCTACTTGAGCATGTGCCCCACGTTTTACTGATGGTTCATGGTACATGGCTAGTCCGTAGGTTAACATGACATTGCCACTAATGATATTCATTATGAGCTTAATTAGATGTACAACAGGCCGTCGAGGCAGCGAAGACGAATGTTGATAATTAAATTCTGGGCAAAGGTTTACTGGAGAACATGCTACTTAGATAGAGCCTGCCCTTTCTCTCCGAGTAGGTTATGAGGCATAGAGAAACTGAGGATGACAGACAGTACGGCATGAAAGTGACAAAATGTCAAACAGACAGACTTGGTCGGATTGACAGAGAGAACTATACTGACATTCAGGAACAACATGTTCTCCAACAGATGATGCAGTCACCCTCAGTAATAAGATTAAGCCCTCCTAAAGTTTCACCAAAACTGGAACTCTTGCACTTTTCAAAGTTAGAAATTTGATTTAAGTCAGGCCCATCATTGTATATTAATGCCAGAACACATTGCTAAAGCATACAACAGCATCCCTCCAACTTTTGTTATTCAGACCAGTGGAGATATTACCTTTGCTAAACAGATTATGGCCTTAATGCCATAAACATAATACCCAATAATACCCATCAACATAACTATGTAAGCAAGTTAGGCTAGATGGTATTCCATGTTCAAAGGATATAAGGCCAGCTTTCTCACCTGATGAATTAATGAAATAATTGCCACCTTGGCTATTCATGTAGACACATATTTAAATACAATACAATATAATTTGCCAGTTAGCAGTTAGCACTACACTTTTTTGACTTTATCTATTAAAGCTGAAACTTTGAAAGATAGATAAACATGTTGGGCACTCTCTAATCTGTATACACTAATCTATGAAGCTACCACCAGCAGCTGTAGCTCTGACCGAAAGTAACAAAATCACCAGTAGAACTCCAGAGAATCTCTGTGTCTAAAGGGGGATTTTGTTACCTTTGGACAGAGCCAGGCAAGCTCTTTCCAGTCTTTATACTAAGCTAGGCTAACTGGCTGCTGGCAGCTGCTTCATATTTCCCAAACCTTTTAATTATATTCCTTGTAACAGGATGTTACACCACAAGATGCAAGATGCTATCAATATTGTGAGCTTTCCTTTTCCTTGATGTTGTGCAATGAAAATGGCAGGTAAGGTTTGCTTATGACAAACATTTTTCATTAGCAGCAGAGTATAATTTTAATAAACATTAGGAAGTTCAGAGCTCCCATAACAAAAACTCCAATCTGCCACATTGTCCATCAGTAAGCAGTGTCCTTGAACAGGACTTGAAGCCCTGCATGCTCACTCAGTGTTAAGTTGCTCTGGATGAAAACATCAGCTAAATGTAAGTGGAAAATGTGACAGGTTAAGACCATGGAAGCAAAACAAAGCAGTAACTAAAAGCAATCACGAAGCCTTGTGCAGTGAAAGCATTAACATATGCAGTAAAAAGGGATTGTGGTTATGAGGTATGGCTGCCTTTAGCATCACAAAGTACCACATAGTGTTTATTTCACTCACTCGCTTTAAGAAATGAAAAAAGGCAATATACGTAATTGGAAACAGAATTAAATGTTGGGTAAACAAAGTTATCAGACAAACTGGTTTATCAAGGACATGTCCTCTTTATCTATTTAATTCCCCCTGTACTTTAATTTTAACTTAGATAAATCAAAGTGAGCATGGGTTCACTTGTGTGTCTTTACATGAGTGTATTTGTGTGTGCACTGTCTGTCTGCTCACCTCAAGGTTTTACTTCTTCTGTTTCAGATGCTTTCAGTCCACAAAACAAATACAATCTTGCACCTTTAGCATACCAACATGACGTTTTGTGTCAGAGTGAATTATAGTGATGTGCATCCATGTCAGTACCATGCAGGGCAATGTGCCGAGTCTCACAGGATCACCAAAAAACCCATTAACACCTGAAAAAACCACCATTTACACCAACGTGTGTCCAGGGATCACGGCTGTATTGTAGGAAAGAGAATTAACTCTGTTGTAGCTGTTCCAAAATGACTGATGTTTTTAACACTGGTCTAAAATAAGTTGGATTTCTCCCCAAACTGACAATAAAATGACTTTTATTAGTATATAGAAAAAACATTTTTAGAAGATGTAAATTTGCTGTCAAATCCAATCCATCACAGGATCCACATGTATATGTTACTTCTGGATTTGTCATTTTTCCAATAATGAAATAAGAACAAAATACACACCTGAATACTCAATGGAATAGGCATCTTTACACAAGTCTGGGCAAGTATCAGTCGCCTCTGGTGCGATAAGCAACTTTTAAAGATGCATAACTTCCACATTGCCTAGGAGAGGTTGTTAAAAAGGAATATGAGGGGAATAACTTTGCATTAGAGATGAGGAAAAACTGTCCTGCCAGCAAATGCAATACAGGATTTGAATTTCTTGAGGCGAGTGTGAATGAAATGCAGACACATGGATAAAATGTGAATGCATGGTGTGTGAGCCAGACAGAGCCACGGAGGATAGACTTAAGGGTCCAATTGTAAGTTAGGATTTTCCCCTGTAGTTGGTTGATCAGGGTGGATCAATACTATCTGGTTATTTTGTTTTAAAAATTCAGATTCACAGGTAAACAGAATGATCTGACAACAAGCAGTGGGATTGATTATGTTTAAAAATGTCAGTGTAGTTTAAAAAAGAGAAGACGTTGCTGAGTTGCTGCAGATTAAGTGTAGAATAATGTGATGATCCGTTGAGGAAGAGGTGAAAAAGTCAGTGCAAATGCTAATAGGGTTGCAAGAAACATTTTTATTATCTTGAGAGTTGGAGATTCATTCTCAACCTTAGGGACGCATTATGGTATAAATACTCTCCATGCATGGTCCAATTACTGAGCTAATCCTGGAGTTTTTGACTGTATCTCACTGACTTCTTCACATATATATCCCCCATATACGAGACCTGTTATCCTGTTATTACATGACCTAAGTACAGATATCCAGTTGCTTGATGGCATCTGAGCTAAGTTCCATATTCAGAAGAAGAGTTTGGGATATGGTCAAAGGCTCCTGGCCTTTATTTCTGATTAATTTTTAGGGTTTTTTGTTGTTGCTGATGAATCTTTTAGTCTATAACATGGCAGAAAGCAGCACATTTTTTTTTACTGTACATCAAATAAACCATACGGTGATAATATCAGAACAGAGATTACATTTACAGTCATATAAAGCAACAAATCTTCATAGTTGAGAAGCTGGAACGAGCAAATATTTGGTATTTTGCTTGCCATTTCCTGCCATCCCTGAGATGTGTTTTATTTGAAACACTGAGCTAAGGCTTGCCGGCTGCATATACCAGGCTGTGTACTGCTTCTCCAGTGTACAGCTGTATAGCAGCAACTGAGAGCATCAACTTCCAACAAAGAAAAAAAAACAAAGCATGCAAAATGTAAAAATGTTATTAAATTAGTTTATTACTTAAATGAAATGTGTCAGCCATTAACTGAAACAGCAGTGACATTTTTAACACACGAGGTTGTGAATGAATGGAAAGGACAAACCGCACACAGGCAACAATATTCACTTGGTCAAGTTCATTTTTTCCGATACAATAATACTAAACATCTTCTCCACTTCCCTTGATTTCCACTCTCTCAGGCTTCGCTGTTGTAAACAGAAAGGTCAGAGGCCAAGCTCACATGCAGTTCCCATGGAAACTGATTGACAGGTCTCTTGACTTTGTCCTGCTGACGTCTGCTCTCCTTGATCATCAACTGGATGTCTTCGTCATCAAGGATCCGGATGAGGTCGCCCTCGGGATCGCGGTAGTTCACGGCGATGTCATCCACCTTGAAGACGTTCCTGAAGAGAGACATGACAGGAAGAGAATGACTTCAGACTGGGTGTTTTCAGGTATTTTAAATTGAAATATTTCCCTTTTTACTTATAATGATGTATGATATATCTTAGCAGTGAGAACCAAGTTTGAAGAATGTCCATAAAGGAAACAAAAAGCGGTTGAAGTTGCTTTGTGTAACAATTCAATAAACATTATTCACATGTTGTCTGAACAATCATTACATGTAACTTTTTTTAGCTTCTTGTAATGCTAGATACAGAAAAGCATGTGAGACCATTTTAAATTCAATTCAATTCAATTCAATTTTATTTGTATAGCGCCAATTCATAACAGAAGTTATCTCAGGACACTTTTCAAATAGAGCAGGTCTAGACCGAACTCTTTAACATTAATTACAGAGACCCAACAGTAGTAAATGTAGCTTTCAACATGTTTAAATATCTTTACAAACACATGTAAAGCAATAAATACAGAGCGGGACAATAGCAACAACAACCTCTCTGTATTTAAAAAAAAAAACATTAATTGTGCTCGTTCATGATGGGGGTTTGTTACAGCTGCAATAGAGTATACAGTATAGAATACAGTATTCTTGATTGTGATGCTTATTAAGTTCTCTGAGGATGATAAAAGCAGGGCAGACAGAGAGGAGGACAACAAATGCAAAATTCATATTTGCTTAATCATGCAATATGATGTAATGCTACATTGAATGACTGGTAATCTATATATTAATTTACCAATATTTCTTTGTTTGTATTCCTATTTTATTTTGTCTTACTTTTATTTCTGAGTAGTTTTTTTTATAATTATAACTTTATTATAATTGTATTATTCTTTTGTGGGGGTTCTTTTTCAGACTGGTTTAGGAGAATAAACACATTTTTATGTTTCTTTTATATTAAGTGGTTGTTTGCTTTAATGTTAAAACCAATAAAGATATTTAATAACAACATTATAAGAAAGCCCTGCACCATAATTCCAGTGAAAGGAAATGACTGGCCCCACCAGGCCTTTGTTGATATATTACAGTTTAATTAAAATTTTATGGTGAAAATTATCACCAAAAAAACATGCGTTGCACCAAAGGAAATGGGTAATGAGTGCAGATATGACCACTGTCTCTATATTCTTGAATGAACAGACAGTCATGTTTGTGCCTAGGAATTAATAAGAGAGAGACACAAAAAAAAACTGAAATAGAGAGACATAGTCACAGTTTATGAGGTTTTCTACCAGAGTCCTGGAGGCACAACATGATGAAGTATTACATCTGATGAAGGACATGCAATGAGTTATTCAAAGTCGCTTCCTGCCACCAGCAATGAAAGGACTTTTTAGAAGACATGCAATTCCAATCTGAGTCCTGATATGTAAATCAACATGCAAGGATCTATTTCTTTTAGTAGTAGTATGATCGCGATGTATGAAATGACACACACACTCAAAGATAAGAATGTAAGATGTCAGTGGTGAGGGTAGTATCACCACCAGCAGCACTGCTGAAGTGTCTCTCTGCTTGAACACTGATAGTGTGAGTGTGATGAAAGTATAATGTGTTAAAACATGTTAATGATAGTCTTGCAAACTTAAAATCATTGAAAAACAAAATCAGTCGTAATCATTTTAATGCGATGTGATGCTATGTGACAGCTTATTAAAGTTGTATTCAATTTAAGACACATTTCTACTTTAGGCAAGTTATTATTTATTAATTTATTTCATTATCTAGTAGTTTAGAAACATTTTCAGTTGCTTCACTCCTTCCTCACCATCTTCCTTTTTCCTGTTCAACACGATGCAATCCTCTCTCTTCTCTTTTCCTACTTACAATCTCGTCATGCCACCATCAGCACTACCCTCTCCTCCCCTGTTCTCTTCATGCTCCCCCTCCCTTTATCAGTGCTGAGCCATATTAAAACTCAAGACCAGGGTCTCATCCATCCTACTCCAGGGCACAATAGGCCTGAACACAGAAAAACAATAATGAGCAGATAAGCGGAAGAAATGAACTGATTATGAATGGGGAGGGCTAATCACCACAGCGCTCACCTATTTAAATTACCAGATAATGAGAGATAGAGGGAGAGGGAGAATGAAAGAGAAAAAGACAGAGAAGAACAGATACGATAGTGTAATGAGCATATGCATCCGGTGATGGTGGTGCAGTGGGAGGAGAGGAGGGGTGAGGGTGGGGGTTCGGAGGTCCGCAGGAACTAATTTGACGAAAAGCGATGATTGGCAACTGGCAATTCGCAGGTTTGCGGTGCACAACAGCAAAATATGCTGCCCCTCAGGACAGGCTGGTGAATGAATGGACTTTTGTTCATCCTTGTTTGTTCAGGAATTAACACGCAAAAAATACTAAGGAAGTGAAATGCTGAAAATGTGGTCACAAAATCACCTTAGTTCATCAGTATATCTCCAGGAGAAACACTAGATATGGAAATCTGCTCTGCTGTGCAAAAATTGAAGAACAAAAGATACTTCATTTGCGATTTAAATCACCATCTTTTTAAGTCTAATTCATTAAAATAGTTTCAGTAAAAAAAATGCTTACAAAGCCAAGGTCAAACACTACCAGTCAGTACTTTTTCATTTATGTGATTCTTGTAGGAAAGTAGTAGTGGGAAGTAGGAAAATAAGGAAAGGCTTAACTAAGATCATTAATGTTATTATGATGAGACGATTGAAGGTTTTCATGCAAAAATAGTGTAACTGTCACATACTTCACTGCCTTCACTTCAAGCATTCATCAATTATGTCAGTTTTATGTTCCATTATCACATTTTTTGGGAAGGTGTTGTAATTCACTCACAGGTGCGAGGCTGCATACAATTATTTTCTCCTCCACAGCTAAACAACAGTCACCTATTAACACCCACAAAATTGATCCTCACGTTTCTCCCCATCTCTGGCTCCCACATGGGTGTAAAGGAAATAAAACGGGACATAAAACACACACTTTTAACTTCCTCCCTAAAAATGGCTCCATCACAGCTAAAAAAAAAAAAAAAAGGATAGCAAGTTACAGAAAGGTCTAGCTAGAATCTGGTATACGCCTACCTCATACGCGACAGTAGGTCCTTGTATGTTGGCTGGATAGTGAGGTCCTCTTGTACACACACATCTCTGTAAGGAGAAACACACATCTCACAATCATCTCCTTAAAGCAGATTTACAAAATTTAAAACCAGGCACTATTTACAGACATGATTCACTCCTAACGGTATAATTACCAGATATACTGTATGAATTTAACAATTACACTCAATAAAAAGCTATGTGTGCTTTCACACCTAACTTGTTTGGTTCAGTTAAAATGAAGTTAATCAATGAAGTCTCTTTGCCGGGTTAGTGGGATTTTTTTTACTACACAACTGAACTGAGACTGCTTAAAAAAGGTAGGTCCAGGCCGGCTGACAAGAGAAGTCTGAGATTTAATGATAGCAGACTAATGTGATTTTACCATGATTTCAAAAACTAAACTACTAATAAATCCATCTGCGGATTGTGAACTGTTACAGTTAAAGCTAGTTTGTACAGTAGATCACATCAAACCTTAAGTCTGAGGTGCTGTGGGTGTCTGAGTTACACCCTTAACTTAATTTTTACCACAATCTGTTCTGTTACATTACTTATGACCACTATACAGTAGAAAGTTCAAGTTAGGTCAATGTTAGTATGGCAACGCAAAGACTAAGAATGAAATCTGTCTCTAATTTTTAACTTATCAAAAGAGTCAGACATATTATTACATATCTAATACATATAAGACACTTTCAACTTAAATGTTCTGAATTACAATTTTTCTTCTGTTTTGTTTACAAATTTCAAGACAGAATTGGAACCATCTAACAAGAGACATCCTGTTGACTCCTCAAAATTAAATTAGTAATTAAGTGTCATATAGAGGCACACACAAAGTCATGCTTCTAAACAGACCTGGTATCGACTCCAGAGGGGGTGAGCAGGAAGCAGCGCAGGCAGCTGTAGGTGAGGCTTTCACCCTCACCTTCTGTGTCACTGTCTGGGAGGGGCTTGATGATCTTCACAAAGGATTGTGGGAAAATACCAGTTTGATTGTTCACTGTGCCCTGTGAAGAGAGGACAGAATAGAATAGAACAGAAGAGAAGAGGGATAAAGAGATCATGAGAAATAGCAAATGAGTGGAGTCCCAGAAGATAGAGTGATAAGGGACTGATGTAATGATGAGATGGGTTGATGATTTAAAGAAGAGAAACACAAGGAAGCAGCATAGACGTGCATCTAGAGGGAGGTTTCCCAGACTAATTAGCCTGTTCATAATATCCTGCTGATGTTACAAGCACTCAACACACATACAGCCTTTTAACTGCACCCTTGGTGTCTGAATGTGTCTGCATAGACACACACAGCAGAAGTACGAGGCGTTAGTTTTATGTAAAAACATCCATGTGATCAGACACCAGAAAAATAAATGCGGTTTCCAGTCTGAGATGTTGGACATTTAGCCTATTTACTATAGTTTACTATATTAAAGCATTGGAGCCATCAATTGTTATAAGGGTTATTTTGCAATCATACAGTAAAATTTTTTGGTCTCTTTCAGAAAGATACCTTTTGTTTCAGGAGACCTGTACTTAAAGCAAAACGTGTTCAAGATAAAAGCTTGCTCGACACAAGGGGAATGTAGGTGCACGCATGTATGTATGAATGTATTACTTTGTGCAAAAAACAGCAGACCCATTGTTAATAAAATTATAGAAGTAACACACCTTTGCTGGTGAAAATGAGGAAGCCAAAATAGGGTAGAAGAGGTATCCATTTTTTACAAACTTTCCAGTTATGAAATGTGAAATGTTCAAATGCTTCCCTTTCTCTTTCCACTGCCAATCAATCACATGTATGACTGCTACGAAGAAATCTCTCATTGAGTTTTACATGGCTTTTTTACTTACTTCTGTTCCCTCATACAGATCATGCTGCAAAAAGCCTGGGTCCGTTACTTCCCATGATGCAACTTAAAAATGTATTTTTTTCATTACACCCTGCAGGCCTAGAAAATGCCCACTTCTCGTGTCTAACACAATTCCTCCAGTTTTTAAGACAGTCTATCTGTTATCATAGATTTGTAGCTTTGTACCCTTTAAGGCATAATGGGTGAACAAGTACATCCATTCTCTGCATGTAAGAATAAAATACAGATTTCTATTCTTAATTTTTTTCCATTTATAGTGGTTGGAAGGACAACCTGACTGATATATGTAGAAATGACAAACTAACCATCTATATGAACCCAATGAGAAGCTGCAGCAGAAAGGTTAGTTTTCTCATTTCTACAGCTACCAGTTTCTTCAGTTGTCCTGAAAAATTTAATTATACCTTTAAATCTGGGTTTTGGGCCACCCCTCACAGAAGCCACTCATAACATAGAAAGTATTTCTCATTTTCTCTGGGAATCCTGAAAATGTTCCGGTTTCTCTCCACTGGTGTGTTTGAAACATTTACCTTGATGCACCAGTCTGCCAGTTGGATTTGTCACGTTTTCCACCCACAGCCGCTCTGTCCACTGACTAAATCAGAGGCACTCAGTCAACTTTTCACAAGTTGTAAGTGTTGCATTAACCTCACCCATCCCAAAAAACAAAACACTTGCTACTAAGCATAGATGCAAAGTTGCCAAAAAAGAACAACAAGATAGTGTTTCGCAGTGTTGTGTAAGGTTATTATTATCAGTGTTTTCTGTTACGATTTTTGGATCTCTCTCAAAAGCCAGGGGCAGGATAAGTGCATCGTCCTCCTCCTCCATGTTGATTCTCTCTCTCTCTCTCTCTCTCTCTCTCTCTCTCTCTCTCTTTCTCCCACCACATCAGCTTCCACCTCCTCGCTCTCTCTCTCTCTCTCTCTCTCTCTCTCTCTCTCGCTCTCTCTCTCCCACTCACCCACTCCCGGCTTCTCTCTCACACTCCATCTCAACACCTTACGCAGTTTTATTCAACACGATTCCTGACCTTTCTTTAAGTACTCTGTGACAAAGCAGAGTTTCTGTGACAACAATTTGCCGGCACCAGTGTTCCGGTGTTGCATTTTTATGTTGAGCAGCTAATTAAAATGTCCCACATCCCGTTTTTGGACGACGACTTACACGTGACACTTGCAGTGTGTAATCAGGACATTTTGCTCATTAAGTAATTGTTCCTCTAAAAGAAACTGGAGCAGGGCACCTTCAATCACATCGGTGGCGATAGTTTGTGGCTACTGTACTGAGCTGCTGCCAGGTGGGGATGACACCATTTTTAAAAACCTTTTTTTAAGTTTTATTATATTCTGTAATTAATTTTGACTGTTTAAAACAAGATGCTCAATAAAAAAGACCTAAGAAAAAAAAAAAACTCAAGTTAAATCATTAGATGAAGCAAAATGAAAATACACATTCCATGGACAAAATGATGTGCCACCCAAACAAAATATGTGGATAAACCCATTTTTGGACAATCATCTGCTTCTATAAGCCTAAGAGCCTCCACTCTTCTGGGACCTGGCTGCACTGATTTGCTCACATTAAGCCACAAGAGCAGTCAAAGTGACGTTCCAGTTCTTCCCATAGGCGTTGGATGAGATTGAGGTCAGGTCTCTGAGCAGACAAGTCAAGTTCTTCCACACCAAACTGGGAAAACCATTTCTTCATAACCCAATAAGCACCCATAACCTCAGACCAAATGTCCCACGTGTCGCTCTGCATGAAGGTGGTCCGTTGGGTCTATTGCAGACATAGGCAGATAATAGATTTTACCCATGCAAACCCTTGTGGCCACGTTGATGCAGAAACTACACATTTTACTGACTATATTTTTGTCTACATACTTTTGACCACTCTTTTGGAAGAGCTGTAGGGGAGTTGGTGGTGCATTCAGGTACCAACAAATTCTCCCCCTAATCTCCTAATTTTTCTTTTCATTCAGACTCTTTTAATTTATCCCCTCACTTTTCTTTCCCTCTTTCTATTTGTCTCCTTGTTTCTCTGCTCTTTCCCTCTCTCTCTCTTATATAATCTTTCCTTCTCTCCCTTTCTCTCATCTCTATCTTTCCCTATAATTTCTTCCATCTTTTGTCATTCCCCTGTCTCTTCCTCCATCACTCTTGTCTTTCCTCTTCCTTTCTTTCTCCTCAGTCCTCCCCTCCACCATCCCAATCAAGATGCCTCCTCCTCACTTTTCATTTTTCTCTATTTTTCCTCTCTTCTTGGCTTACATCTTCTCTCCCCCGCCACCTCTTCTATATCTTTCCCATCCCTCCCTCTCACTTTCATCTGTCTTTCACCGCCTTCCACTCACCCACTCTTTCCGTCCCTTTCTTCTTCTCTACCTCTCTCTCTCTCTCTCTCCTTACTTCCCTCCCTTCCCTATCTCTCTTTGTCTCCCCCCTCCCTCACTCTCTCTCTCTCTCTTTCTCTCTCTCTCTCTCACTCTCTCCGTTCATACCTCCAGCCAGTCAGCGTTCACTCGTTGCAGCAGGAAGATCACCTCTCCCCTCTTCAGGTTCAACTCCGTCTTGTTGTTGCCGCGAAAGTCAAACATCGCCTGGGAAACACACACAGACACACACACGCACACACACAAGTCAGTGAGAGGAGAGAGGAAAGAGAGGGGAGAGAGACGGACACACTCAACACAAACAGTGAAGAGAAGGTGAGAGCGGACAGGTAAGACATAACACACTTTTTGCTGATGGATAATGACGTGTGAGTGTGTAAGTGAGACAAAGAGAGACAGAAGGGATGCTATATTTTATCAGTTTGAGATTTGTCAAGTTAAGAAGTTAAGATTTGTGAGCAAAATGAGAATTGATACACAATGGGAGTGAAGTTTGGAGAGTGTGTGTGTGTGTGTTTGTGTCTTACTGAGAGAGAGAGAGAGAGAGAGTGTGTGTGTGTGAAGTGATGCGAGAGAAGACGGATGAATTCATCTACTTGAAGAAGTGAAGATTTGTGAGGAAGAGAGAGAGACATGAAAATGAGTGAACCTGTGAGATGAGTGTGAGTGTGTGTGAGTGAGAGAGAGGGAGTGATAGAAAGCGAGGGAATGAGAGAGAAGGGATGTTAGAGAAAGATCCCTCCATGTGTAAATTTATTCAGGTGTTATGTCTGTGTGTTTGTAAGGAGCAGACACGTATTTGCTAGCAATATGTAATAGTATTCAATAGTATTGGTGAATAAAGTGGGTGCATCATAGGACTACAACTGATTATTCCTCACTAAATATGTAGATTATTTTAGCAAATATTGGAAAGATCCCCATCACAGTGACCCAGGGAGAAAACTTCAATTTTCTTTTTTTCCAGTCCAAAGCCCAAAGATGTGAGGCTGTAACCAGGAAATGTTTAGCATTTTGTTCGATAAATGACTTAAGTGACTGATCCGTTATCTAAATTGTCAATCACATTAGACAAATCAAATAACTGACCGACAATTTCAGCTGTAATATCACGTGATGTATGCAGCACTCCTGTGTGTGTATACACAATAAATACTCTACATACTAGTGACAGCTAAGTTTTGCATCTGTGTAAGTGTGAGTAAGAGTGTGTGTGTGAGCGTATGTCTGTGAGCGATGAAGTAAAAAGCCGGTATGAGGAGTTTGAAGTATTAGTGGTACAGCCTGAGGAGATGCCACATTGCAGTGCACGTGTGTGTGTGTGTGTGTGTGTGTGTGTGTGTGCAGTTGGGGGGGTATAGGATGCTTGACCATCCTGGTTAGCATTAGTACGTCTGGAATAAAAGCCTGCCAGAGTTGAATTTGCATTTAAAGTAGAACTCAGTAGAGTCATTACCGATGCTTTAAACCTTCTGTCCTTTTGCAAAGAGACTCCTCAAACAGACAAATGATAAAGTAGCCTATTACACACTCACACATTTCGGCAAATGCACAACCAAACACACGAGCTACATTCATTTTTCACTGTAATAACACTTAGTGCAATAGTACTGTGTAATGATAATCATAATGATAATAAATCTAATCTGTTGTGAACATGTAGATCCAAAAGCAAACATATGTGCACACGCTTTCCAGCATTCACACCCACACACACAAGTCAGCAGCTTCGCACAGACACAAGTTGTGTTATCAATGTCCACAGAAGAATAGAAAGAAAGAAAGAAAGAAAGAAAGAAAGAAAGAAAGAAAGAAAGAAAGAAAGAAAGAAAGATGAGCAATTATATTGGACTAAGAAATTGGGGAGAGAATTACTGCCACAGTAGGAGAGCAATCACTAGAGACACTGAAACTAAAAGAGTTGGAGAATCAGAAGAGGTACAGTGAGACCAAAAAAGAACGCAGAGCGGTTAAAGCAGTGGGAGGGAGGTGAAGAAGAGGAGGAGGAAGAGGAGTAGGAGGAGGAGGAGGATGAGGAGATAAGAAAAGTGAAAGTTAAACAGAGGTACAGGGCTGCAGAGGGCTGATCTTTCTTAGGGAGTGACTGTGTGATCCTGAGGACAATGACAATGACTCATTTTAATCCCTAAAGCTGGACTGATCTATAGTTTTATATTAACGATAGGTCAAATGACAATGTGTAATACGGCTCGTAGCAATGAGCCAACAAGTAATGATGGACTCCCCAAGTGTTTGGCTCAAAACGTATTGTACTCTGCTTGCCGAGCACCAAACATACAAAAGACAAAATTAATGACTAGCTGGTGAATATAGTGGAGTGTGAATATTGGACTTAACATTCACTAGATTTCAGGTATCTGTTTCTACAACGTGCAAATCATGGGCTGAGTCATGCTGTTGTCAAAAAGTTTGTCTTCAGAATACTCAACATCAGCTGCAGGAAAGGCCGACTCAGTTATTAACCATTTTAAACTACTATTATCGAGACATTACTGAATTGAAATATATTGCATGGCTATTGCTGAAAAAGGTGTTATATATCGTGTTTGACGCGTTGAAAATCTTAAGGATTATACCTTTAAAGTAAATGTTCTGGTATGTATGTGCCTGTGTACGAATACATGAATGTGTGTGCAGAGAGAGTGTGTGTGTGTGTGTGTGTGTGTGTGTGTGTGTGTGTGTGTGTGTGTGTCTGTGTGTCAGAATGTGTGTGAATGTGTGTCTACAGAAAATGAGACAGAGGCTGATGGCAGATTAATGAAGCTGGGGAGTGAGGGAGCAGGCTGGATTAACAATCCACTGAGATTACCCTGACCCTGAGGACATACACACACACACACACACACACACACACACACACACACACACACACACACACACACACACACACACACCTACACACATACACACTCTTTGAATTCGGGGCTGCTATTTTTAATGCATTATTCCAGACGCTGTTTTATTATAGTGTTGACCCGCCGCTGGCTGTAATTTATAGATGATGTGAAAATGTGTTGGAGGCGATAAGCTACTATCTCCAACACAAACACAAATATGATGTGACAAAGCAATTCCCCCTCTTTCTATACCTTCTTTCATCGCTCTCTCCCCACGTCGTCACCATCACTGTTCCACCTCTTCATCCCTTTACTTTTACTTGTCGTTTTCCCTTTGTCTCCATTTCAGCCTGTTTCTTTCATGCATTTTGTTCTTTTTTTATCCTTCCTGTCTTCCTCTGTGTCTCTACTAATGGTTCAGTTGGCTAATTAAGTGGTTGACTTGATGAGTGAACTATAACAACTCAGTGCAGTGGGTGATACAGTAGCTGACTGGATGAGTGTATGCCATTTATACAGCTGCATAAAAAGAGGCAATTGTGCATCAGTGCCTTCAGTCAAATACTATTTCAGCATCTGGCATCTGGCTAGCAAAAATAAAATCACTTTGAGATAAGTAAAGGGTTAAAAAAGGGTAAAAAGGGAAATACAATCATAACCAGGAACAGTAACACATTGAACAATTGTTCACACTGCAAAACAACTCACAGTTTGTCCATCACAATCCCTACTGATTGACTCTCTACTGATTTCCCCAATCAATCAGTAGAGAGTGACAAAGCCACCAACGTCATTTTCAGTTACTCAACCTACAACAACCTGTACAGCAGCATCATTTTCCATTTTTATGTTCTATGTTTTATGGTGGGTAGCTGACTAACTACTGTACATAAGAATAATGATGTCCTCATTTTAATCGTATAAAGCTCTGATTGATGGACTGTTTCATCAGCCGGGGAACCAGCCATCAATTCAGACAGTACGAGACCGAATGGATTCAACTAAAGGCTAAAGGCTATGAACAACATGAATTCACCTGATTGCTTCAGAATGTCAAAGTTATAGTTATTCCCATCTTAAGAGCTGCAACAAAGCTAACACTAAAGTGAGGTAGACGTCAATCAAAGTCCAGACCCATAAAAACTTGAGGTGTAATCAAAATAAATGTAATTAGCTGTGTGGGTGTAGCATAGTTGTGCAGAGGCTTTGATGTGTTTATCAGTTCAGAGGTTTTAAACAAGGCTATAACACCCTGGCCAGATGTGGAGATCTGTCGCTACAATTAGTTTCCTAGACTAACAAATAATAATTGTTATCCTATGAATCAAAAAGCTTGACTCTATGATTCACCTTTTTCCACATTACTCAGCAATCATGCAGAATGTAATCCTTCATTGAAAAAGCAAAGAAACCAGTTTCTTCTTCAGCAGTATCAATAGACCAGAGTTCAATGCGGCCACGTTGGATTGTTACAAATCTATCTTTGGTAATGTGTGAAATACAATGGCCTCAGCGATGACATTTTTAGAATTTGACCAGCCATGCAAGCAAATAATAAGATCATTCTGTCTCCACTCACTAAATATATACTCGAGTTTATCCAGAGCAGGTATTATGTGTTAGTGTACCTTGTGTGCCCAGTAAAGGGCTGGCCTCTAAATGTAGCCACACAGCCCTTGGGTTCAGCCAGCCCCGGGAGCAATCATCCGGTACAATTAGACTCGCGCCGACCCCTCCTTAATGAGCTTGTTAAACCCTCAGCTCGTTAGTCTGGCAATAGGGAGGTGGAGATGAGAATTGAGGTTTTTTTTCTCTCCCTGACGTTTAATGAAAGTGTATTTTTTTAAGTAGATGGCCCACTTCCTAGAAGGCCTAGAGTGAAGGATCACAGGAGGACATGCATGTATATATGAATATAAGAACGAGCAGAGGTTGCAGAGGTTGTGTGTGTGTGTGTGTGTCTGTGCAGGTCACTTCTGCTTCTAAACTAATCACACAGAGAAACTACAGCATACATTTAGGTATGAGCAAAGCCTATGTTCTGCATTAATCAAAAAATAATAGCTACATATTTGATATCATTGAACATTGTTACACTGAACACTAGATTATAATAAGCAAACCTCAACTTGATAATTGCAATTAAATGTAGATTAATTAATGGTGGAATTAGTAATAGCACAGTTTTTTTTTGTATTTTATTGTTTGTCTTTACTTAAAGCTGCATTAACTGATTGCATTGGTTGCTAGGGAGTAGACGGAAGAAGCTGACAGACATAAAGCCCTAAAACCTATAAAACTCATAAAGTTTTTAGACATAAAAGATAGCTGGGTCCTTAGCTGCTAAATGGTCCACTATATTCACCATCTAGTCTCGAACTTTGTGCCTGGCATGCAGGGTACCGTGGGTCTGTCAGAGCTATTCTGCTGAAGACAGCTTCCTGCTGCTGCTGCTGCTGCTGCTGGATACGAGGGAGTGGTGAGAGTGCACCAAACTGTTCATTTGCTGTGAGACCAAAACAGTGAGCAACAACAGGCTAACATTAGACATAGTCATTTGATTTATTGTTAACATAAAAAATATAGACTAGTGGATTGGTTGAATATATGTAAACCCAGTTAACTGTGAGAAACATGCACACAAATATTCACTATTTAAACTATAAGTGACTGATAAAAAGCAATACCATGAAACAGCTGGGCTCGAATTTCTTCAAAACTTTCTTTTATCTTCATTTCATCACATCCATGTGCACCAGTTAACTACTGCACAATTTCAATCCATAAAAGTGAATATCTGAGTTGTATGGTCATATTTCAGCTACAAAGCGTACCTGCATATCAGCTTTTTTCACTCTGGTAGGTCTTTATCTAAAATAGGATCTAATTTCTGCTCTAATGGATCTCTGCAAAAGAAGACGGGCTGAGCCTCGGTCGATTAGGACCTGCTTAATTTTCAATTTTCTACTTTTATGTATTTTTCTTGCATTTTTGCACTCTATCATGTTTTGCCTCTGTAACACACACTCTGCTTCTTTTCTCTCCTCCATCTATCCCTGCTTCTTTGTCACTCCCCAATTTTGTCGCATAAGGCAAACCAGCCCTCCAGCTCGTGCTTTGTTAAAATCATGCTAACCGAAAGCAGCCTGTCCCATTGACCTTGTTTGAAGCTCATAGTGCCATAGCCAACAACAATTACTCATCGCGCTGTTTGGGGCTAAGCCTGAGCTAATACTAAGTGGAGTGGAATGAAGTGTAGTAGCATAAACGCTAACGCTTGCACCAGCTCTACTGTGACAAATGCCCGTGCTCTCATCTTATCCATCAGGCTCAGACCAGCCATTGATCATTGTTTGGACGGAGTTTAACAGCCACTTCCCTGCACTGAAAAGACTCACTGCAGGACACACACAAAAACACACAGAGAAGCACTCTGTTTTCTCGGAGAGAAAGAGAGAGTGAGCTAAAATAAATGTTGAGTAGGTTGGCTGCTTCGTGAGTAGAGTACACCAATGTTTTACTTTTGTGTGGGAGAGAGGGGAGGCAGAGAGAGACAGATAGAGAGAGAGAGAGAGAGAGAGAGAGAGAGAGAGAGAGAAAGGAGTAAAATGGAGTTGTTGCTCTTATTTTGGCAATAAAACACAAGGGAGATACGAAGAGAGAGAGAGAGAGAGAGAGAGAGAGGGAGAAAGAGAGAGAGAATGTGTGTGTGTGTGTGTGTGTGTGTGTGTGTGTGTGCGTGTGTGCATGTGAAAGAGCTATACCTTTTTTTTTAGTGCAAGGTTAGGAAAAGTTAAACACTTGTGCAAGGGGGTAAAACCCACAAGAGTTTAAGAGCTGCAGAAACACACACACACACACACACACACACACACACACACACACACACACACACACACACACACACACACACACTTCACCTGCAGACATGCACTCAGATTATAGCCACTTAAACAAGAACACTCACTCTGCAAGAAAATTTCCATCTTATTGGAGAGGGAGCTGGATGCAGACAATGGTTGACCTCCGCAAGGGTTGAAACAGGAAAAGTGTATATACAAGTAACTTCTTGAGCACATACAGACCTAATAAAGATGCAGCGTGTTTGGACCTTTCTCTCAAATTGTAGATAGACAAAAATGTACTTGTTAAAAAGGGGAGGTTTGCAATGCAGGTACACACCCAAATAACACACATAAAGTCTCAATATATTAATCTCTGTATATATATAAATATATATATATTACACACCACAAAGCATACAAACAGAAAGTAAAGGAATGGCTGTCATCCATGAGCCTGACTACACTGTCAACATTATTACTCCTACACAAAGAGTATTACACACAGTTACTACTGGACACTATTGGTTTATTTTAAAAATAGACATTTATGGTGGTTGGAATTGAGCGTGTGCGGTCTTGTATCTTTGTGAAGACTTTGGCCACTCACTTCTTCCAAGGGCTGTTTTAAGGTTTACTTTGTTCAGGATTAAGGTCAGATTGACAGCCAGGCTGAGGTCAGGGTAAAGGTTTGGGTTATACAGTTGTTGTTATAAGGGTTAGTCTATAAGAGTCCTCAAAAGAATAGAAGCAAAGAAAGGTCAGTCTAGGATTGTGCTGATTGTACAAGGAATAAAAGCCTCTTTTTGCCTCCTTGGAGAATTTAATTGGCAGGTTATTACCACGTTAACCTCTTAGCTGACTATATTCCCTGCATCTGAACCACACCAGCTGCACAACTTCACAAACACACACCTTCCAGGTAAAACGACCACAGAATATAAACACAGTTTCTCCTCCCTTTTTTTACGGTGTTGGAGCAAAGGGCGTGAACAGAATAAAAATGAGAGGATGTGAAGGAGAAGAAGAGGAGGGGGACAGAGGGATGAGAGATGGTCGCAACCTTGAAAAGAGACAGAGGGAGGGGAGAGGAGAGGAGAAAGAAACAAGGGCAGACTTAAGGGTTGTTTAAGGGGATGGGTGGGCAAGGGAGGGAATAGGGAGGAGGAGAGAAAGCAGGGGGGGTGCTAATATGAAAGGAGAGATGGATACAGAAATTAAAAAAGGAAGTGAAGCGAGGCGGGAACTATTGATGAGGTCAACGGAGTCACAGGCAAGAGGGAGAAGTAAAAGTGTGAAAAAAGAAGTCATCCTTATTGATTTGTCACATCAGTCGATATGTTTGTGTAAGATTTTATGTGCCTTAATTTGTGTATGTGTGTGTGTGTGTGTGTGTGTGTGTGTGTGTGTGTGTGTGTGTGTGTGTGTGTGTGTGTGTGTCATGAGATGCAATCACGCTAAGGGTGCTGACAGGATCACATGCTATTTCACGGGGTGATGAAGTGCATTCTGCGTGGTTGTTTGACAAAAGTTGTTACTCTGTGGGTGGCCATGGATATGGTAACCAAAGCAACAACAACAATAAAAAATATTTTACTACACATACCTCGGCCCTGGGGGAGGAGAAGAGGTCCATCTTTGGTTTGACTGTCTTCCTAAAAGACAAGACAGGGAGGGAGATAAGACAACATATACAAGGGAAAATGTCTTCACCCACAAATGTTGCGGGTGTGATCAATAACAGGAGACATTATCCTGCCCTTTGATTATAGACCCTGTGAGATCCAATCTGTGTATTCCTTTGGTTCTAGAGATAGCAATGACAGTCAGTCGGTCAGTCCACCAAACCTTTCCAGACTGAAATGCCTAAACAGTTACTTGATAGACTGCCATGGAATTGCACATTCATGGTCCCCAGCAGATGAATCCTACCGACTCCGGTGACGTATCCTCTAGCAGCACCATGTTTTTGACATCTTTGGTTCAGAGTGAAATGTTTGAACAACTGCTGGATGTATTAACATACAGTTGAGTGCAAGTATTCAGGTTTCCCCTCAGGATGAATTGTAATAACATCGGGGATCCTCTGACCTTAATACTTTGTTTAATGCTCAAAGTACCTGCAAAATATCCATCCAGTTAGTCTCAGCTGTACAATGTGTTTAGTGCTATGGGTCGAAATTTTAAATAACTGTCTTAAGAATATGGAAACAAATGTGAACAGTAGTTTAATGTTGCAAGGAAACTCTTGCCAAGGTTGAATAAAGCTCATCATAAACACACATACTGTATAACTGTAAAACATTGGAACTATGCAACAAAATGCATCTGGTTTCTAGGACAATGAGAAAATCATGTGGCAACATTCAAAAGAGGAAATATCACAGTTCCTTGTAATGTTCTAACACACAAACCTTTTATACACCCATATAAATAGAGTCAGGCCAGATGTAAGAGCAGAGGAAGTAATGAGACTCTACCTTTGCATCATTTCCTGTTGAGAGAGTCCCCCTTTACCACATCTCCTGCTGGTGTAATCTGACCCCAGGGAAATGGGCCAATCAGAAGCCAGAGTAGCCGTTATGAATGGGGAAGTAGACCGTAAAAAGGGTAATATGTCTCTGTGGAGTTTTCTCAATGTCAAATTTATCTATCCTTGCCTGCATCGCTTCCTCGCTACTTAACTGCTTCCATTTATGATGTGAGGCAGAGATGCAGAGATAAGATGGAGGAATCAAGGAGCGCTTATTTGCCAAATGGGACATCATAACTCAGGACAGCCTCCTTGTGATTTAACACAAAACATTTATAACTTCCTGCACAGCTCTTGCCACTGGGCTAGAAGGTGATTGTTTAGGTCCTGGTTTTACCATGAAAATGTAACACAACTGTTGTAAAGATCATGTATCTCTGCACACTGTGTGTCATAGATACACTCACACACAACAAAGTGCTACTTAACTTGCTTAATTAATCTGCATACTTCCATTTGGTGTCTTTTGTGTGAACTGAATTTACAGTCAAAATGACCTCCGTTAATCAATTTACAGACTTAATAGCACTCATCAACTTTAGATGGAAAGCTCTGTAATGAAAGCTGTATGGATGTAAGTCTGCCAAAGTGTTTTCTTTCGACTCTTAGTGTCCATAAAAAGTTACAAAAGTCTAGTAGTTCGAAAGTTTTAGAGAACTGATTGACAAGTCAGCAATGTATAGGGTATAGATATATATATGTAGGAGTTGTCCAAGTATGATGATAAAATTAGATCATTTACCATCATTGTAGTACAATTCACTGGTACCATTTAAAATATTTCAGACAATTTTACTATAGCTAACTTGTTTGGATGAATACATTTATGTATTAGTCATTTTTTGTTCATCCTCTTCCGGTTTCTACACATCTTAATTGGGAAAAACTAAACTGTTGATACATTCAAGTTACCAGTTTAATTACTAATACATATCTAGTAGTCTAAACATTTCAAAATGTATTCTTTCAGGGGGAGATTCCACTCTCTGCCATCCTTTTCCTCATTTTTAGGGGCCTAATATGAGTTGTTTGATCCTGAGACCAAATTGCTAAAACTACTTTGATTTCAAAACTTTATTGAATTCATTAATTTATATTAATTTCTTCAAAGGATGGAAACTGCTTGCCACTAGATTTATACTATTATGACAACTTTTAAAAGATAAAAGACCGAGGACTAAGGTCACAGGATTTTCTTATTCATAAAGAAATATATGCAAATAATTTTAGGGCACAAACATGCCCTTAAATGCTAGCAAATAACCCCTTTCATCTCTAATTGCAGGTGCTTCGGCTTTAAACCTGTTTCACCATGCTGGCACCTTGGCACCCTCAAACACTTTGCATAATTGGAGTACTGTCTCCTCTGATCTTAAGCTCTGATAAAAAACAATATGTCTGTCGTGGAGATATTCATGTTTAGTCACATCTGGCCTGCTGCCCCAAGGGGTTCGGTTTAGCATTACTACTAGTCACTCTCTTTGTGGTTATTAGCATTGTGTGCACTGGGGCTTACACTTTGCGGGTAGGTGGGCGGAGACGCCTGAGGGCTCGTGGTTTTTGCTGGCTGTCCTGGTCCGTCTGGTAGAAAAACATCCTGAGAGCCTCGTCCATTAACAGCCATGTTGGCAGACCCAGCAACCTCTGGGAAGAGAGGAAGAATGAGGCAAGAGATATGGGTTTGGATAACAAGAGATGACGGAAAGGATAGAGTAAATAATGATCGAAAGAAAGATTTTTGAGGTGGAAGATGGGGAATACAGATGGAGGAGGGACTGAAAAAAAGAGGGAAATCGGGGTCAATGGTTAAGGATGTCCGCGGAGACAAGAGGGGTGTAAAGAGAGTGGGAGTTTGATGGAAGAGGAGAAGGAGAAGTAGGGTGGTGGGATTCGAGCGAGAAGGGTGGAAGGAGTGGATGAAAGAGAGGAGATGAAGCGAGGAAGATTACAAGTGCAAGGCGAGCGAAGGCGAGAGAGTGTGGCAAAGTGAGAACCACGTAGGTTGCGGGAAAAAAAGAGTAAAGCAGAAAAGAGAAGTGAGTGAGTGGGAGAAAGAGAACCTGATCGTGTTTTTAGCGATGGAGCAACACTGAAACATGTCAAAAGTCCCACAACTACAGTCAGTCAGACGTGATGTGGGCACAGGGCAGAGCAAAGAGAAGAGAGCAGCAACGCCTACATGTTGAGCTCCATCTGCAAACTACTGCTGAAATATCCGAGTCAGTGCTTATCCACCTACAGCATCGTTCAGCCCACTAAGTTGTAGGCTTCTGCACTGCTTGCTGCAGAAGATACCAAGCATGCCAACAACTCAACAACTAATAAAGGACTACACTGTGCATAAAATTAAATGTGATTACCTTCATGTACGTGTTGAGTTCAGGGATTCTGCTCTCTGCAATCTCCTGCTTGTTGCCAAGGAAGACTTTTCCTAGAAGAGAAACATGAAAACGGTGCAGACGTGAAATCATCAGGGGTCAGATTTATAATCAAGACCTACATCAATTCGCACACATAGTGTAAATGGTACTTATGGAAGAAGAACATGCACAATGTGCATAGCTCACACATACTGTACTTCAGACCAGATGTTGGTGGCAGTAACGAGCAAAGAAGTTTAACAATGCACCGACAAAGGCAGAGAAGAAGAAATATACAAGCAAACGTGGACGTGTAAAAATAGTCAGTGCACACTTGATGGCCTCTCTGGGACCATTAAGAGGTATAAATGTTTGAAATAAGATTTATCTCAAGCATTTAAATTTAGTGCAACATGATGCACTATACACTTGACACACTTGAATCATTTGCCTGATGTTTTGTGTATTTTTGGCAGCAGTTTGAGGAAACAAAAATGTACTTATACTGTATTTTTGAACTTCAACTTAAGCTATTCTCAATCATGATTGATAGGCATATAGCGACACACTCAAGTCACTATTCCATACAGTTCACAATATGATTTTTTCGCAGTTCTTTATAAATTATATTTCCTTTTCTTTGTAAAAGTGAAACCGATGTATTTGCATCTTGATACAGTTGCTGACACGAGTGATGTAGGAAGTTAAATCTTCAAACGTTTGTATCGCAATTTGACTGTCTTGTGATATAGTGTTACATTCCTAATAATTATTAGTGTGATATTTGACGATGATGACTGAGTTACAGCAGCTTGAATAAATAGTATATCAGCATGTTATGACCATGTTAGGCCTTGTTAGAGGACCTCACCAGTGTGAATAAATTAAATTGCACTTTATTTTTGCCATTATTTTCATTGAGAGCTTGTTGGAGCAGTTGAAGGTAATATTTTGCAAACAGATTAAGGGCATGTCTACCTCTATTTTGCACCTGCACAGATATTTCTGCATCTGGTCCCAAGACTCAGTTCTTTCTTTTTTTTTTATATGCAATTGAAATATGTGTAGCTTTTGCCATATTTTAAATTGAAACCACATTTATTTTGTCAAACCTAGACCCAAACTAGACAAAGGCTTCTCCAGAAAACACGTCCCTCTTGAGAGTGTGACATATTACACTTTAGCCCTCATATCACACCAGTCCAGCCAAAAATTATGAGGCGCAGACTTCTAATGCTCTAAATCAGGACCCTCAACAATTCATCCAAGGCCATCTAACACTGCTGTTAAATCAAATTTAGCACAGTCTTAATGACCCTCAGCCACAATATTCAGCCCTCTTTCCTCTCTCAATTTCTCTCGTCTCGTCCCCTCTTGAGCACGATAACTCACTCAATCACTCGCAGGCACATTCACTCATTTACTCCCTTGCTGATGAATCATTTACTCATCCACTCACCTCTCACCATCCGCTGGGGCCTCGCTGAATAAGATGTTCTGACCTTGAATCTATTGTAGAATACTTTCTATTGCTTTTTTCTATTAAAATATCCATGTTGCATTTAGCCCAAAGGCTACACCTGTGATAAAACAAGATAATAAGAGAAGGGATTTGACTACAAGATAACAGCTCTCCGGTATATTTTGAAAATTTTAAATGAAAAAGGATTCTGTTTTTTTTAAAGAAGCAAAGGCAGAGAGACGGAACCACAACAATTTTTTCATTGATTCATTTTCATTAATAGTTTCAAAGTGACCAAACAAACCTATATCCTTTTCCATTCTTTTTGTTTCTCCAACCCGTCACCCATCCTCCCCTCTGTCTCCCTCCTCTCTCCCTCCTGTCTTTCTTATTCCCTTTTCATCCTGATGAGATCTGGCACTGCAATTAAACCCATCAGATCTAATATTATCCAGCAGACTCCTCAGTGGCAGATGCTAAATCAGAGTTTGTGGAAAAAGTAGAACTTTCTCAAATTTGAAAGTGACTATGAGAGATACTGCCTTAAAGTCTATAAAGAAATTATGTCAGAAATGTCTCAATAAAGGCTTTGGTGATTGGGTATGTCTTTAAATTATTTATGCTGTCACAGAACAAAATCCAATCATCTATAGTGGGTTACTTTGAATACACTATTAAAGAAAGTCACAGAATACACAATTTCAGATGACTATATCAACATTTTTATCAACTTCTCTTATCTGGTATATCAGTTTTAAGTAAATACCTTGGTACACCATGACATAACTGCTAAATATACAGAGTTTAAATATTTTAATGACATTATAGATATAGTATGATGAGTACAAACTACTTACAATCTTAAAAAATCTTTTAAATTTGACCTTGAAATGCATTTCTACAACTGTTGGCACACACACACTCTATGTGGCAAACCCCACTCAGGTTGAAGCAAAAACCAAGAATAAGAATCATTTGTACCTTTACCCCCTGTTTGGCACACAGTAAACATCAAGGGATGGAAGAGGGACTTTAAGGGAGACCAGAGAGGAGCAGAGAAAACAGTAAAGAGATCAGAGAACAGTGAAAGCCTTGTATTAATGGTTTGGTGATAGGATTCAGATGTGGCAGAGCTCCAGCCATAAGACAACACCACAGGTGCAAAGATGAAACAGATTAAGTTACTTCTAGAATATACACAAGTATTAAGTATTACATCAGTAATATTGTTAATTTTCTCTTAACTTGGCATTAATGAAACCCACCATATAGACTACAGTCATGCTGTAATGCTGGAGTTTATACAGTGCATGTATAAAATATTGCCTTTGTTGCGAGATGTAGCCTAAACAACAGAAACACTGCTGTTTTTTGACTTTGTTCATTACATTGATTTACGACCAAATACTTACTTACTTGGTCTTTTAAAATAGAAGCGTATCTGTTCCGTCAGACAGAAGACTGATGTACACTGCAGAAACGCCTCCTATGTAAACACACCATTAGTCTTTTTGCTATATGACTTGAGAATTCACAGGCGTCTGCTGACTTCTTTGAAATTAAAACCTTCAATCAAAAATGAAAATAATAGTACTTGATTGTCCAAGAGATAACACGTCATGTTTAAAGTCATGTTTAGGGAGTAAACTGTGTGTGTGACTGTTGTAATGTAAATGCATTTATACTTTGGAGTATCTCAAGAATCTTTCATTTTGTTTTTCGGCATCGGTAATATAACTCTTTGGGGAGTAGATGAGATCTAGATTCTACTGCACCAATGCTGTATATAACACGTGTAGTAATGTGACACTGGACATTAAACCAAATATAATGTTTCATTTGTTCAGCACTGTTAACAAGTTGATAGCTAAACTAAAGCCATTTGAGTTCAAACAGAAATAAATCTGTATGTGACTGAAGTGTGATTACAGTGCAAAGTGTAACCTGATTCACCATCTCAAAGTAATTTATACACACACACACACACACACACACACACACACACACACACACACACACACACACACCTCACTCTGTCCTCATCTTTCCTAAATCGATGATCCGAGCCACCCATTCAAAGCCTTCTGGCTTTTATTGGTGCCGATGTTGGTTTCCAGCCTCCGATAATCAATACAGACACCGACGGCGGCTCCCAGATAGACTGACTTATGGGAAAACAATGAGCTGCTGAATAAAACCAGAGCCAACGGGCAGATGAGGACAAGAGGACAAACGCAGACATTATGCAGCGCAGTATTGAGGCCTGAATAGATGTTGTCAAGTGAAAATCTTGTAAATGATGTGAAGTGTTAATGACTTAAGTTTATCTTTAACTGGCACTCAGGTTGTGGCTCATTGTGGCACCAGCTGACTCTTTCTAATTTAAAGTTTCTGTTTGATTGTGGCCAGTCAAGTAACTTCCTCGCAGTACTAAATGTTCTTTAACGACAGTTCTCAGACATAGGCCAATGACTTTCCTTCTTTTGACTATTAACTTTGATTATTAAATGTCCACACATGCTGTTCTGGGTGTATTTTTTTCTCCCTCTTGCTCTCATTCTGATTTGTCCTTATTCAACTCCTTGTCAGCTTTATAGAACAATGCTGTTCTCAGGGGCTTTAGTAGTCAGCACTGCTGACAAATCGTTTTTTCTTAAGCAATAATAAGTAGTCAAAGCTGCACTTTTGTCAACAAACTTCCTTATCCTTAAATCTTTAGGCATCTCTGTAGCTCAATAGAGGCCATGACAGAAGGGTTATTAGAGAATGAGCATGAGTTCAATTTTAACAAAACAGTCACATTGGAGTTAGCCCCATGCTGCTCTGCAGTGTGTTGGACTCTGCTGTTAAAAACCTTGCAGCTTGTTTGTAAGATCGTTCATACTCAGAGTTCATAAAACTATGTCACTTCCATAGTGTCTTGTGAGCAGGACTGTAAAAACACGGAGAGCATGGAAGAAGTCATAAACTACTAAAAAAACGTTCTCAAACTACTTCCAATAATACATCCTGTGAAGCAGATGTATGCTGATGTTGTCCACACTTATTTGAGCCTATACTGACTGAAAGATACTGTATTACCAGCTGACTGTAGGTAAAGGAAAAAAGGATCTTTGCATCCGTTCGCTGGTTGATAGAAGCATGTGGTCCCATGAAGCTGACCTGCCAAGCTGATGGATACCTAATGCCCTGGGGTCCCATTGTCACCAGTCACATTCAGCTTCAGTTTCAGATATCTATTGTGCTCAGGCAAAGATGATGATGGTGGAGGAAAGGGACGGAAGTTTCCAGAGATCTCCATGGGAACACTAGGATGTGTAATCTTCTTCCAAAGTCAAACACCACCATCGTGGCTACTAACATATCTCATGACCTAGTGTTATGAACTAGCTTTATAGTTATGAACGCTAAGTAGGCTCTTGGGGAATGATACACCAGGCAATGGCAGCCAAGATAAGTTTTATCTGCAGGGTGGCTGGTGAATTCACAGATTCTGACTGCGGCTCAGGAGACAGAGAGCAGTAGAGCAAAGTGTCTTTCTTTGAAAAAAAGCTCTATATAAATGTTTTACCATTTACTTCATATTGAAAACTGCATGAGGTGTTTCAAGCAGCACCAACTAAGTGAGTTCCTTGCTGCCTCAGTTTAGAGGTGCTCCAGGCACGATTGACCAGGGAGAGCCAGGGCAAAAGTGTACACGATGGTGGGATCCCGCAGAAGTTGCTTGGTACAGCAGAAAAGGATGTTTGGGGTCTCTGCTCATTGCGTACCTGCCCAGGATAAGCAACTTGAAAGCAGATACAGTAGATGTATGAATGTCTCTCATCTCTCCCAAACCCTTACCCTTCAACATGGCTCTTACAGTTTGTCTCTGTATTTTCCCTGTGGCGTTTATCTGTCCCCCTATACCATCTGCTCTTTTCTGACTATTCTGAATGTCACTGTGGATTATACTTATTTATTACAGTCTTCTGATATAAGCTTTTAAACTGACCTTGTAAGATATACTCCTAGTGGCACTATGATGAGTTTTTGACATTTAGCCTGACAATATGACACTTTGCTACAGGCATATCTAAAAGAAGAGTTTTATTTCAAAATGCTTTAAATACCTTTTTGGGGGAGACATTACATTAGGTTCATTGAGTTCAATAGAAGGAAGTTTGTAAAGATGTTAACATTTTGACCTTCTGGGACTCATTAATATTGGAGATGTTCCAAAAAAGACCTTTTATGAAGTGAAACGGAAGTTTTTGTGCCTTGATACCATGACTGATTCACAATTAATTTCGGATCTCACCGATTTGAATCTTTAAATATTTGTATTGTATTTAACTATCTTGTGATATATCTTTACATTCCTACACAACACCAAAAGATCAATTAATTTAAACTTAAAAACTTTTGAACCAGAGCCTTCAGAATTTGAGTCAAGAAGTCTGTGATTTATTCAACATTAAGGGAAATATATATCAGATTCAGGACTCAGTTTTGTTAAATTCACAATATTAACGACCTTCTATCATGATCAGGACCAGACTGGTACCAGATATTCGCACTTATTATAGTATGCTTTACAAATAATTCTCATTCTACCAAATAAATGTTTGAGAGCAGATGTTACCCTTCAGACAGCAGATATCTCACTGGAGTACAACTAATGCTGTAACTCAGCAGTTTTCAGTGCTCAACTTCACATTATTATTCAGCCACATGTGCCGAAAATATGTTCACTACACCCTTGTGACTTGAACATAATTGGATTTACGGACAAGTAAGTTCAAATTAAACTGGCAGCTAAATTGTCATCAAACCTGTAAGAGCCAAAACAGTAATTATTCTTCGCTATTCTTTACCCTTGATTCCACCTACAACTAATGTGTTCTTAAATTCATCGAGCAAATCCAATAATGCCTCAAACCACTCAGATTAGGGACAAAACAGTTGGTATGCATGTTTGATTTATGATATCTGATGTGCAGAGTGAGCAGAGTGAGCAGATCCTCACTTTTAAAACCATGTTCAGATGGATTTCAGTTCTTCCAGCCACAGGGAGAAAATTCAGCCAGCTGTCAACATACACCCAGTCTGTTACTCTCCATATGCATGAAGTGGAGCAGAATAAGTGTGCATTTGAAGGTGAAGGTTAGAGAGTGACAAGGCAGAAATTATGCAGTAAAGTACAATGCTCCCTCTGTATTCTGTCAGCAGCAAGGCCCTGACACGGCAAAATCATTGTCATCACTGTGAAACTGGAACTTACAGAAGCGCTGCTGACAGCACTCTATTTCCACTAAACAAGAAAGAAATGAAACCCTTATTATTAGGGTTTTAATTATTAGTACGTTTTCATTGTAGTAAAGCACCTACAGTGACAGTTTGTTTGGCAGTGCAATCTGAAATAGAAACCATTACTAACTAGTTTGTCAGACTTTTGTCAGGTTTTCTTTGCTGCAGCCCTCAGCTGTCTCACTGAACTGAATCAGGAGCTGTGTTTTTTCCTGCAGTGCTGATGTCTGTATGAAAAGGCCTTCATGGCGCCTTTAGTATTGTTACTGTGGGGTAAAGAATGTGAGGATCGAGACACATACCGTTTTGAGCATGTTACTTGTTTTCTTACATCAGCTGCCCTCATGAAAACCTGAGGTTGTTCTCTCAACACAAAACTTTAAAGTTGGACAACGTAGTCCAGATAGTTTTTTCTGTCTCAGAAATCTATCTAGCAGGTTTTTTTTTTTGTTTAGCCAACTGAAGTAGGACAAAGTATGGCATGGTAGCCGAAGTAACAAAATTGGAAATGTAGAGATCGTGACTGTTTACATAGTTTGAGTCACAGATTTCCTCGTGTCTGTCAGACTTAAAAAGATAAAATCAGAATCAAAGGGCATAAGGAATTATCAGCTGAGCTGTGGGCTCCTGACAGACATGTATTTGAACAATGTGAAATCTGACACCATGTTGAATATTGTGACGCAATTTGTCTGCATGCCGCTGCAGTTATCAGTGCTGTGAACACACACACACTCACCTGGAAGAGTGGGCAGGACGCAGTTGTTGGGACCAGGTCTCTCTGGGTCTTCAGGAGAGTATCTGGACTCGAGGATCTGGTGGAGGTTGAAAAATTCTCTGTACCTCCTGTAGATGAAATACTTACTCCCTCCTTTAGTCTTCACCTCGATCACAAACATCTGCGGAGAGAAACAGAGGCGTGCAACTGATTTGTACTCTTGTCATTTTTTTATCTGCGCTCAGTTTAAAGTTTGTGGTAGTGTTTCAAACTTACAAAGTAGTCAATGAAGCCTTTCTTCTCCTCAATATCAGCAATGGTGGCGCTGATAGGGATGTTATGAGGCAGTTGATCAAAGTCACTGAGTAAAAGATAATCTGGTTATCATATTTTATTCACTTAAACCCCAATTACCAAGGTTAGCCCTGCAAGCTATTTCTGGAATTCATTATTCACTTATTTTCAATTCATCAGATCAGACTTTAAACATTCGTGTTTAGAATATTAAATGTTAAATAGATTTTTTAAAACAGAATTAAAGTCAGATAGCTCAAAAGATCCGCCTGTATGGTTCATCTGAGGCTACATGTTCTGCAGAGAGATCTATCTATGACAGCAGCAAAACGGCAATAACACATACAGGCAAATTAAATTACAGTAAACAACACATTTCTTAGACAAATTTTTTCCCCAAGAAGGAGCATAAACTGCAGAGCGACACATTTTGCACAAACACTGAGCCTCCGCAGAAAGGTCAGCCCCTGGTTTCATTACCCTTTATATTTCAGCTGCAAGGATCATAGAAAAAGTGAACTGAGAAGTAACCTAATAACTTCTCTTTGATCTTACATTGTGATATTATTACTAGTAAGGCAATACAATTCCGATGCGTTTACTACCAGTTGTTAAGTGCTATAAAACTATCGATTAAATCATTAATAGCTACAGTTACTGGTGATTTTCCGTCCAACACACTCACCTTTCCTCCCGTAAATGCTGCGGCAGCGACATGATGTTGCGCACAGTTCACTGATTGCAGACCGACGGAGAAACTTTAACTCTCTGTGAGGAGAAAGGCGCTTCTTACACAGGTCTTAGTTGGAAACACCGCAGGCTGCACTGACTGACTGCGCCTCAAAACTGTGTGCAGGCGTTACCGTGCGGAAACAGACGACAGGAAGCGAAAGTTCTCTAAAAAGATCAGGGGATGTGCGTTTATCTGCGGTTTGGCGCCTTATACAAGTTGCGGCAAGGGCAGGGAAAATCTCTTGAATGGGCTGCAGGTGGCAGACGGCAGGTATGATGTGTGTTTCTATCAGCTGCTGATCATCCAACGGTATACAGCTTGTTACAGGCTGATGTTGAAATAAGGTAGACTACTAGAAAGAGAGAAATAGGTAGGATTATGTTAAAGGGTCAGTTCATCCAAATCACTGAAAAAACTTTCTCTCACCATCTTTTTATGAAAAAGTTGTGGCAAAGACGGTTTTTTTGTGTGTGATGCTCAAAATACTGAAAATATTACATTTGAAAATTTTTAAAAGCAACTTCGGCTTGTGTGTCTTTGATATGAGTGATCTGACCCATTCAATTTCTGTTTATTATGGTGAGCACAACTTAAGCAACTATCATTTGGCACTATTTTGCACAATCAACTATCATACAGATGAGTATCATATTGGGACAGCTTGTAAGTGCCAGCAAAGGGAAAATTCAGTACAATACCCTTTGATTTTGGATTCAGGGCTTGGTTTTTAAAGGTTTACAGGTCTATGTTGTTTACATTGCTCTTGGTACATGTGGATTTGTGATTGCTTTCCACACAGGCTTTCTTGGCATCAGCTGCACGTGTCATGTGTGCCATATCTAAAGAGAGTGACAAACAGGGCAACTGGGAAAGAGCTAGTTTTGGAAACCATGTTCACCGGGATTAGCCATGGGTGTGTCCACAGAGTGTTTGCACAGGTGAGGAAGGGCCCACGTCTTCCTGCAGAAGCACACACCGCTGGGTATATGATTAGTTTTTGCAGCATATCAATACTTCTTCCCCTTCAGATTTAAAAGAAGCTGTTTTGGCAAATTAACTGACATATCCTCACATGTATCAAATCTCTATGTGTATCACTATGCAGTAAACACTATATCGGTGGTTGTTAATGTTTCCATTAAAATAATGGATATAAATAAGTTATTTTTAACCTTTTTTTGCATTTTCTCCCTTGTTTAAAGAGGGCACTGTACCTAAATCATACTGTAAATTAGTTTTTAAAAGCATATTTAAAAATAGAAACCTTTGGGTCACATCATGCCCTGGGACTCTCCAAACACTTCTCAAGAAGTGACCTTTCACTGATTATTTTTACACAGCTTCTGCCTTATTTGAGAGTTCACAGTCACCTCAAGAGCAGTCTCCTCCTTAGTCTGTGCACAGCGGCACCACGAGCACGTCTTTAACATCAATCCCAAATCGCTCCCACATTCAATTTGACTGATTAGTGTAAATACTGTGAACAAGCAAGATCGTTGTTGACTACTGGCAGCCTCTCCCAGCCTCCCACAAACAATAAAGCACAAGCTTACTCCAGTTTAAGCATTCTGTTTTGAACATGATATATCATCATAGTTAATGCACATTGGCTAATGACAAATGCTGTCAAATGATTGCACGTTTCCATCACGGTAAGCTGCAAATATACTGCAAATTTGCCTGCCTGTCGCTGGTACTCTCCCATGGCTGTATTCATTGTTTTGGAAGTCATTGACTATAGACTTAAAGAGACCTAGTAGAGGTAGTGCAGTTAAACTAAATGGCAAGTTTAGTGTAAAACTAAATACTTTAAATATAAAAGAGAGCTTCTTTGGTAGCTCTGCTTCCATGGACGAATGTGGAGCTAACCATCAATCAGCATCACTCTCTTCTCTCTGTGCTCTGGACAGACACTGCAGGACCTTGAAACTCATTGTACTCTTGTTTGGTGTAGTCAGATTTGGTTTATCAGAGCTTTTTGGCTGAAAACAGCTCCCTGCTGCGTCAATCAATCAGTCATCAATCAAAACAGTGAAGTCACAAGAAATGAAACCAAAACATAGAGCAACATGGAGAAATGTGATGATAATCTGTGGGTTCTTAAGTTAAGTGGCACCCATCACATGATACATATTCATTTGATACATATTACATACATACATGATACATATTCATATTCATTCCTTTTTCATATTAAAATATTGATAAGAGCAGCTTTAAATAAAACTGAAACCAAAATTAATTTTCAATTGTTTTTCTAAAGGTACATGCATGACTCCAGTGGTTTTTCTTGTCTCGCCAGTTTGTTGTTGTCTCGCCAGTCTGCGCCTCAGCTGTTCTTTGTTGCCTTCAGGTAATAATTTAAGGTGTCAAACTAACTTCATTAATTCATAATAAATGCATAGTAGAATAACTTAATACATAACATGATATTACATTTTTATAATAATATCATTTGCATGTATGAATGTGTTTACATTCCCAGCACGTCAGTTAAATAAAGCCTGCTATCAATTTTCTGACTGGGAAATATATTGGTGGGATAAACATTTTTATGTCCATTATGCTTTAAAATGTGTTATACACTATATATTTAACACATTTTTTGCAGATTGTGCTGACATTGTTGCTTTCTTTTCTCCCGTCTTATCTCACCTGAAGCAGAAAGTTCACATTCTCCAAATCACTTACATAGACACACACACCCTTACACAAACACTTCATGGCACAGTGTTGACCTCTCGCACTTCTCTTGTGCGAGAGGTCTCTCTCACTGATAACGGCTGGTGATTGGTGAAATTAAGCAGAGGGGAAATGACTGGAATAAAAAACAGGGGACACGGTTCTGGCATTAAATCTGAGGCGATTAAACCGTATAACACTAGATGTCAGCAAAGTTATTGCTGTGCTGGAGGTGTGTGTGTGTGTGTGTGTGTGTGTGTGTGTGTGTGTGTGTAGAGAGAGAGAGAGAGAGAGAGAGAGAGAGAGACAGTGAAAGAGAGAGAGAACCCTGATTTATTGTCTAATCTAACAGGTTACTGATTGTGGTTATAACTTCTAATCAATCTTGATCAACCTGATCTGTCTTTGTGGTATTGGGTCTACTTCAGACTCTCTGAACACTATCATACTGTATGTCAACATATTCACACACAATCGCTCAGCAAACTTCTTGCTCATAGTTGCATTTCCCAAATAAAGACAGGCAATCCACAGCCACATTGAGCTTCAGTACTGCACCGCAGCCTGAGTCACTTCATCACTGACTACATACACAGATTGACTGTGATGATAGGGATAGGGATTACAGCAGTTACAAGCTTCAGTAAATCAAACAAGGTGTGTTGAAGGCGTTTTTCCCTGCAATTCTTACCCGTCTGTGACTTATTGTTTGCATTGAGATAAAAGCATTTACGTATATGTTTTAGAGTTGTGAGTCGGTCAGGTTGAACTCAACTTATGAGTGTGCAAACAGAAAAACGTAATCAACTACAAGAAAGGAGACATGGAAAGACAATGTAGGAGTGTGTACGAGGAAAAAAACTGTGTGGGTGTGAATATTTTCTTGTGTTATACACTCTGAGTTCTCATTGTGTGTATAAGAAATAGACAAACAAAGAGTGCAATAGAGTGTGATGCTGCATAGAGGAGTGTGTGTGTATGAGTGTGTGTGTATGTGTGTGTGTGTGTGTGTGTGTGTGTGTGTGTGTGTGTGTGCAGCACATATTGACTCCATATCTATTTTCATGCAGCCTGAGATGGATCCTTTGAAACGCTGCTCGTATAACAGACCATTGCCAGCCATGAATTGCAGAAACATTTTTCAAGGGTGTATTTATCTTCAAGGTCAGGCCAGCTGCTAGAGTCTGTTGTGCTTGGTTGCGTGTGTGTATAAGAGAGAATTTGTGGATTGTGAATGTGTATACGTGTGAAAGAGGTTATGTGTGTGTGTTTAACAGAGTGTACTGTAGCTGTGCTTGTACATAGTGTATTGCATGCTAGCCTTGGAATATAACTTTGAAACAAAAGTACACAGTAAAAAGCCTGCGGATGAAATCTAATAAGCCGTTAAGTTGACAGGCAAACAGGTACCAAAACACACACATATACACACACGCAGAGAAACAGAAGAAGTGAGACTGACAGAAAGTCTCATCAAGCACACAGCTTGTGTTTACCATGTTGACAGCTGGTTACCGTAGAGACGTCATAGGGAAAGTAAAAACAGGAAGAGGTGAAGCTGAGCACGGGGCTAATCTAAATACTAAAACTTTATGTTGGAGAGTTACATCACTCTGTTTCTATAATACCGGGGCTACAACTGGAATGTTTTTATCCAAAATCTGATGTCCACTGAACAACTTTACTTTAACATGTCCTTTTTTAAAAGACAGAAATGCATACAAGCATGGTTGGCAAAGTTCTTAGACAAAAAAAGCTCTGCTAACCTAATACATTGTGTGTAAATTGAGAAGGACATTACATAAGATAATACATAGTGTCCTGTGCAGTTGTCTAACCAAACTAAGAGCTAAGGAACATTATCATTACCTGCAAGTAATAACTTGTGATAGTTTATATTATGATATGACATGATATATTTTAGATTTATTGAACAATGACTCCAGGGCATAACTGATTTGTCCCAGGGATGTAATGGGAAAGGGATATCATGCATAATGACCAGCAGGAGTTTGCTCTGATTTGGTGATTTGCAGATCAGAAAACATCTATGTCAAGAGGTTAAAACTGGGCTCCATTTGGTTTTAAATGTGTGTTACATATAATTGTTGGTTAACTACGAATTGAAATATAGTCATTGTAATGATGTTGATAACCCAGACACCAAATTTAAGGCCTGGATATCCTCTGACCTGCAAATTACCAACACAAAATGCTAACTGGACCTCTCCGTCCAATACAGTTACACATATGTTATACATATACATTTGAGATTTCATGACAAGAATATCTGCTGCCTTTGGAGTAGAGTTGGAAACAGTTGTTTTTAGAATCACAAGAATAGGGGTTTCTACGCGGAAATTATATTATTGTAAGTATTTATTTAGTGCGCAATCTAATTTTCGGAAAGTCAAACGCTCATGTGGTTGTAGCGCAAACATTTT